TGTTTGCATTTATTTTATAAGTATTTTAGACAAACACCCTCTCATTTAGCCTGTTCCCCTCTTGTATCTCCTCATAGAGTTATTTATAACTCACACATGTAAGATGCACTTGTTTTGCAGATCAATAGTTGCTTAGCTCACTATCCTTTAAGAAGAGCAAATACTTTAGTCAGTCTTTGGTAGGTGATCATATGGCTTCCAATAGGCGTCAACCATTTTGTTTTAAGTCATACTTCGCTGATGCTAAGTGGTTTGGTCATTTATGTTGATTATCATGGATAATATTTTGCTGTGTCTTAGATTAAATGATGTGTATGTTAAAATGTGCCATGAGATGGCTACACTTTATCATTGCCACAGGATGGCCTATATATGTTATTTTACTATGTGATGCTTTTGCATTTTGAGCATGTGAAGGTGCAAAATAATACAACATAACCTTATGTGATATAATACATTCATGCATGCTTGATGTATACATCCATGGTCATAAGTCCCATAAGGTAATTTCGAGTGTATGATGTGAATTGTCCATTTTAGGCTTAATGGGTTAAGAGGGTAACTCCCATCAATACCTTTGCGCTAGTCATGGCCTTCGGCTTTGGATCATGACAATTAGGATCATCCTTAGATAACCTACCAAATTGAACTGAAGACTAAATCATTTGAATGTAAGCTAGCTTAATTTCGAAATTATTTGCATTGATGAAAGCTTTTTTAATGGTTGGCTGCAACCCTTGCAAATGAGGAACAACATAATCTCGTAGTGCTTTATTTTCTTCAAGAACTAGATTAATGGCACTATTGCCATTGTTGTTGTTATCCTCAGCCATTGTTTGATTTAAGGTTGTAACTTGCAAATTCTCCTTTCGACATCGTCTGAAAGTTCTTTCTATCTCAAGATTAAAAGGAACAAGATTCAAATTGCTTCCTTTTTCATACAATGACCAAAAATATTAGTAAACAAACAAAAATAATATCAAAACAAGAAAATAAAATTTGAAGTAAGACTAAATTTCTTAGTATTAATATTAGTAAAACTTCCAAAAAACAATTCCCTGACAACGATGTAAAAATTTGTTAGTTCAAATTCTACTTACATAAGTATACGTATCACAAGAATAATATAACGGCAAATAGAGTATCTATCCCAAAAGGAATTGTTCTAAAAATTTTACCAAGTATTAAAATTAAAACAATTTAATTTTATCCAAATGGTTTAAAGGCAAATAATTATTTAAACTAAAATTAACAAAACTAAGTAACAAGAATAAAAATCAAAGCAGAAATAAAAACTGATTAAACTCAATAGATATAAGTCTAGGATTACAATGATCCTCACATTTCATCTAAATCTTACGTTTCTTCTTTAACTTATTTTAATGGGTTGAATTGCTAAAGTCCTCAATTATTTATAAAGGTCTCCTGACTCATCTTATAAAAATATTTATTTTAACCAAAACACTATATCCCTATCTAAATTAAAATTAAAATATATTCATTAGGATCAAGCTCTAACTCTAGCTACACATGGCATATAGGTATATTCTTATCTTATACATAAATTAATTAATATGATTATATGCTATTCCAATTTTAGTCTACATTAAACTTCTTTTCCCAATTTTGTTTAGGTTCCTAGATAAATTTAATTGATAGCTAAGCAATTAAAAGCATTAAGAATAAATTGGAACAAACAATTCAATTTCATTGAAAACAAGCAAGAAAAAGATTAAAAATTTAGATTACATGTGAGTTTAATTGCAATCTTAAAAAATAAAATTAGTTACTCATAATTGCAAAGATAAATAAAAATATGTGAAGTTCAACCATTAAGAATAACAAGAAAAATAAATACTAAAGAAGAAGACAAAACAAATATTTGTAATCTCGCTTTGTCAATTTCAACCTTAACTTCTAGCTTATTGAATTTTTTAGGGTTGTCTTCTTAACTTCTCCCAAATCACTCTTTAAATACTAATAATTTTGACCTAAAATTCCTTAAATTAAACATAATTTAACCTAATGACTCAACTTGTGGGCTGAGAAGTGTTAAGAGGCCCAAACATCAAATATCATTCTTCAAATTGCCATTCTCGCAGTATTACACTTAATCATCTTTCGACACGATATTCTCTATCTTTGAGGCAGAACTTGGTAAAATGTTTTTATGAAAGTTGTATCTCTATCTCTTAGCTTTCCAATGGCTCAAGAATCACATCATTTGGACATTTGGTGTGGGAGTTATGATTAAAATATTAAAACATATATGAGCAAGATTTTGGGTCCTTCAAGCACCTTTTTTTCTAAAATTAAGCCATATTCCTTTAAATCCTACAAAAGCATAAAAATTAATAAATAATAAACAAATTAAATTGAATAAATATAAAATTAAAATAACTAAATAAAAATAAACTAATTAGAAAAACAACTAAATATAACTAAATTTTAGATAAAATTTAAGGATTTAACTAACATTTAAGAACAAAATGAGGTTAACATAACTCTATAAAATAGAATTATCACTCATTTGTTATTTTTTCTTGTTTTTGTTTTATAAATTTGTAGCTCATTCGCTAGGTACCTTGTGAAGTAGTAGTCCAGCTCATACTTGGTAGTTGTGATAGTGTCTTCTTTTGCAGCCACCAGTGTCTCTAGACTTTGCAGTGCTTCGAGTTGAGTCTTATACTATTTATGTGTTGAATGATACTCAGTTATGTTAATAAATGTTAATACACATTTATTTGTTTATCACTGCAAATATTATGTTGGGCTCCGAAAATGGGTTTATATGAATGTTGATAGCATGGTGAAAGGACTATAAGTGTTATAGGCATGGGATGTGTGCCAGACCATAGATAATATTTGTATAATGTGAATATTGATATGAAATGAAAATAGAAATCACACACCATGTTAAGAAGTTCCATGATTATGTGATGGTATTATGTGATAAATGGATGTACAATGTTCCATATGTTATGTTGAGAAGTTCTATAATAATGTGACGATGTTTATATATATATATATATGTGAACACTATTATAATGTATGGATTTTGTAAGAATGTGGTGGATGTCAAGCCTACACATGTTGATAAGGCTTATTTAGGCTTAGTGGATCATATCCACATAGGTCCATGCGCCAATCACGATTTTTTAGGAAATGGGATGTGACAATACCTCTTAAATGCAATATAATCCTCATATATATAGGCAATTATGTTATGCTTAACCTTGGTAGGATTTGCACAACATTGATACGAATTGTAGAATTGCCTCTAGATTAATTGAACCATTCAATTAAATCCTTGAAGTTCTTAACTTTTTTAAATTAATTTAACTCAATTGAGCCCTTTTTACATTCACAATGAACATTCTTTAATGTGTGCAATAGATTAGGTTCTTAACACATTGGTAATAAATATAAATTATAAATCAAAGTAAACTAGAATTAGATGAATTAAACTCCTAATTTGTATTTTTCATCAATTCCTTAATTGATTAGTCATATTTATAAGTCAAAATTGACAACTAATAATGCATAATGGCTACTCAAATGTTAAGAAAAGTTATGCTAGTTTGACTCAACCCTTCGATGTACAATCTTATCATGTTATTAATATGCCTTCATCACTTAGTATCTTGACAAGTCATAATGCATGGTGCAATGTCTACATTATATTGTCTTTGCCATTTTTGTCCTTATAGCTAGTCTTTAAATCCTTAATGAAATTTGAAAACTTTTTTTCAAATCATTATTCTACCTTTGCCTATGATTTTCTTGAGTTAAGACATGTTAAAAAGCAATGGATATTCTCCTTAGTATCAAATAAAGTGATGAATCCTTTATTTGATCATTCACTTACCTTTATATGCTTCATATTATATCCAATGTCTATCCTTTTATGAGCATCATTGATTGAGCACATTAGATTACATTTAAGTATAACATTCCACATATAAAGCAACTTTATGATCTCAAATACTAGGACAACTTACACAACTTGTTACATGAGAATTTATTCCATACACACTTGAGTCATCATATCAAATGAAATTTATATGGTGAGTCATGTTTAGTGAACTTGTTCATGTAATAGATATCTACATGTTAATTCAATTATCTTTATAAGTCAATCTATGAAATCAATTATTTAGTTTACAAATGAGAAACATTACATTATGTTAGTCTTCTTGGTTTTATCCATATCAAGTTCTTAACAAAACATTAACTGGTAACCTTTAAAGAATTATTCTTTAATGCAATAAGGATCTCACAATTATAACAATTTGTTATTCCTTCTACACAACATATATAATTTCAAGAACTGTACTTAATATGACTGTATATAAGTCTTTTGAAAATAATACCTTTTATTAAATGTAAATGCTTAAAATTCATAATTATTTTTCTACAACCATCTTATTGGCTCACACAAGATATACGTTTACATTGTAAATAATTGATAAGATGAAATACATTTTTAAAAATTATTATTAGTAAATGCCTTGGAGCCTTTTTATTTTCTTTTTATGATTCTTTTGGCCCTGTATTCTAACACAGTGGTACATATATTTCTAAACATCTAGTAACTAGTTTAAAATAACTTAAATGAGAAACGTAAAAAATTGATAACTTTAGTGATTATTTTTAGTAATTTTTTTTTCAAATATTGATATATATATATATATATATATATATATATATATAGATCGTGTGCTCCGTCCTAGAGGTGTCTAAACTTTGTGCTACTTGCCTCAATCCGACTAAAATATTTCATTAATATATACTATTATGAAAAGAAAAAAAATCAAATTATCTTATTTTTTAATAAATTAAAAAAATGTTATGCATATGGTCGTGACTGACGAGCAAGCTCGGCTTCTAAAATGTACGGGCGGTGCCCCACACTAAGAAAATGACGTAGTGGGTTACAACGCTGTCGTTTTGGGCTCTCTCTAAGAGTGAGTGAACAAAAATGAAGAAAGGCGCAAATAAAGTGGCATCCTCTTAGTTTGAATAGTGTTAAGTGGCAGGTAGCCGACTCGCCGCTCCGCCTTAGGCTGCAACTGAGCATTTGAGTAAATAAGGTGTAGAAGAAGAAGAAGGAGGTATGGTGAAACTGACGGCCGACTTGATTTGGAAGAGCCCTCACTTCTTCAATGCTCTCAAGGAGCGAGAATTGGATCTTCGAGGTGCTGCTTCTCTTTCTTGCCCCCCCTCCCCCCAAACCCTAATAACGATTTCTATCGCCGTCTCAAATTTCCTTTCTTTAGAAGTTAATCTTTTGCCTTTGCTTCCCCTTTCTTTCATTCTTCAGGTAGCAAAATTGCTGTAATCGAAAACTTGGGTGCTACCGAGGTTTGTATTCTTACTGCTTTTCTTCTTCTTTTCCCCCGAAAGGATAAGAAAATTCGTTGAGGGCATTTTTAGCTCTTTTTAACACTCGTTTGCTTGTGTCCTTGACAGGACCAATTCGATGCCATAGATTTGTCTGACAATGAGATTGTCAAGCTCGACAACTTCCCTTATCTTAACCGCTTGGGTACCTTACTTATAAACAACAACCGGGTTACTCGTATCAATCCCAATATCGGAGGCAAGCTTTGAACAGCATGGATTTCCTTGTTGCACTTGTCTTTTTCTCTCATCCTCTCTTGTAGGAAGCCACTTATGGTGTTCATATTTCCTTGCCCTGCAGAGTTCTTGCCCAAGTTACATACGTTGGTTCTCACAAACAACAGGCTCGTCAACTTGGTGGAGATTGATCCTCTCTCATCTCTTCCTAAGCTGCAGTTCCTTAGCTTATTGGACAATAATATTACAAAAAAACCTAATTATAGGTTGTATGTGATTCACAAACTTAAATCACTCCGTGTTCTGGATTTCAAGAAAGTGAAGGCTAAGGTGACTGGATACGTTAAACTATTATTTTCTCCTCTGAAACAAACTTATTATTCTTCGTTTTTGTCATGCATTAGTTGCTGGTCATCATGTGTATGATTATGTAAAATTGTTGTGATTAATTGAGAAACCTCTGGCCACACCCATATCCATTCTCTGAGAGCTTCTACCTAATTGAACCTTTAGCTTTACAAGTGTTAACTTTGCTTTCAACATTGTTTTGTTCATTCGTGGTGTAGTTTGAGTTCAATATTATATTATGAAGTAGTAAGTGTAGGTTCATGAAGTGCAATTGTGTGGTTTGAGTTATTCACAGTTTTCATGATTAATGGAATAATACTGGATTTTAGAATGGTATTTCAGTTATTTTTATTGAGTACTGGCCTAGGCTCCAAGTTAGGTGCATTTGCTGTTAGGAAAGATGTCCTGAATTCTGCTTTTTGTTCAAAATTATAATTCCATCTTTTAGCCTATTGCTTTGAATTGCTCATGTTTTACTTATTTCACAGAGAAAAGACTTATGCTGTAGGATTGATTTATTCATTCAATGTACCTTAACATTCTTCCCTTTTTTCTTTTTGCATCTTTTGGTGGGTGGAGGGGGGGGGGGCCTAAATGTTCTAATTTGCTATGATTTTGATTTCCTCATGTAACTATCATATGAATTAAATCTCATATTATGCTTCATGGGTCTTAGGAGAGACTGGAAGCTGAAAATCTCTTTGCATCTAAAGAATTTGAAGAGGAAATGAAGAAAGAATCCACAAAGACAATGACACCAGAAGAGGTTCCAAAGGTTTTAGAAGTTGCACAGGAAGAACAGATGCCAAAAGTAGTTGCCCCCACACCTGAGCAAATTTTAGCTATCAAGGTATTAACTTTCTCAAAATGCTAATTTGAAACAAGGATAGTGCCGTTGATAGTATTTTAGTTTCTCATCATGGTTGCTTTTTTGATGGTTTTGCTTATGCATCTTAGAAAAGCTTTAGAGAACGTTATCAGGAAATAGGGATGAAATAAAGAAGAGAAAAAAGATAGGAATCAAGGGTAGAGTGGGAGAAGCCTGCCTTCTGAATATTTCAATTGCTCTCACAAATGCATGCTTGGGTACCATTTACAGAAGCATAAACTTCAAGAAAGCTTAAGAATTTAATTTATGATTTACTTGCAACAAGAACTTGACAAACTTCCTTAGATGCTGTAAGGTGACAATTTAGACTCTCATTTGAGGGTGAGGCCAGAACTTTTATGGCTATTTTTTGAATGCTCTAAATTAATTTCTTCTCTTCCTTGTTTAGATGAGGGTAAGTTCTAGCATCCATTAACTAGAATTTGATGGTATAGGTGCTTCCAAATTCTTTTTAGAAGGCATGGGTTGACTGATTTGATCTTGTGATGTTATTGAGAAACTACTTGGAAATATTAAAAAAGGATATAAAAACTTGTAGTTATGGGTTTCAATAGACAAAAGAAAGAGTGTTGAATTAGAACTTTGGAGTCCTCTAAGAAATGGAGTCTTGTTGTTTAATGACGCTTGGAACCAAGGAAGGGAATTTGCAAAAGAGTAGTGATCACATCCTTTGATGCATTGTTACCAGATATGCTTATTGCCTGTCAATTTCCAAATTTGATTATGCAATCCCAAATGCGATTTTTATGAAACCAAATGATCCATTGGTTTGGAGAAGTACAAAACTGAAGTTGAAAGAGAAGGCGAGGAAATTGAAAGAACTATCTCTAATCGCAAAGCTGCTTTTGAAAGATAGGGGGAGAGAAGAATCGTGGAAAACAATGTGTAGTTTTAACTTATTTTCAGGGTAAATTACCCCAAGTCCTTAGGATTTCACCCTAATTCATTTCAGGTCCATTAGTATTCAAAGTGGACACTTGTCCCAAGACCCTAAATGTCATTAACAGATGTTAAGAAATGACTAAACTACCTATGACCCTAAAACACCAAAACGTGTCTTTCAACCCATATTACACAATTCAATTGACTGTCCATCTCATAATTGATTGCTATCTAACATTGTAATGAAAGAGATCCACATGATGGCTTGTTCACTATCAAAAGAAACTCCTTGATTGGATGACTCCTTGGGCCATTAGACAACAATGCAAGGTCAATGACAACTAGGGTCCAAAGCTTCCCCACCATAGTGGGTGGTTCTACCTTGTTTCTTTCAACCCTGACTGAAAAAGATCATTTTTACCCTTGGAACCCATTATACCAACTGATATTCGAGCTAGAGGAAGAGGGAGGGCACAAATTCCTTTTAGGTAACCATTAATAGATGCTTCAATAATCAATTATCTGCTATGAATAACTCATCAGGAAGAAACAATTGTCAATTTTTTTTTCTCTTTTATTTCTAGTTCTAATGTTTAGTTGTTGTTGATGGCAGTGCTGGAAGAACTTGCCTTGCCTTTTTTTTTTGTTTCTGTTCAGAATGAATTTGAATAAGAGTTTTCTCAAGCACGGTTGGGTTGTTGATAAGTTCTGCTAGTGCCATTCATTTGCAATGGCTGTTGTATCAATAGTTGCCGTGAACAAATCCTATGAAGAGATATGTGAGTGGCTGCCTTTGGTGTGTGAAAGGATATACGAGTTGACTTAAGAGTTATCAAGGAAGGGTAAAATAGGTATAAAATGATGGCCTCCTCCTAAAGTTAACAGAAAATCAAACGGTGGGGTGTCAGCAAGACTTATGCATCTTGTGACGTATATTAGTTTGGAGTGGCGTGTCCATTTTGAATACTAATGGACCTAAGATGAATTAGGGTGAAACCCTAAGGACTTTGGGGTAATTTACCCTTTTTTTTTATAAAAAATTTGTTATTTGCCTTAGCCTAGGCTAAATAAGTGAACGTGGAGGCAAGAATAAAGATTTTAGTTGTTGAAGACCTAATTATTAATTCTACCAAGAAAAACAAGTCCTAAAACTTTTGCTTAATTGTATTTAAATGTTTTCAACAGACCCATTATTGACGTTTGACCAATTTGAATTTTGAAATTTAAATAAATTTAATTATTTCATTAATTTTAATGAATAGGGTAAGGTTTAAATAGAATAGGGTAAGGTTCCCTTCGTCTGGATTGCTTATAAAAGAAGTGGGAAAGGAAATGGAGGGGTATGTTATTAACCATCTTTGGTAATGAGTGGAAAGGAAATGAAATTATGACTTAGCATTTATTTTACAATTACATCCTTTAGAGGTTAAATGATATATTAACATAGGGTGATTTTGTCTATATGATATAAAGTATTTAGTCAGAAATACTTCTTCAAATCTTTCCAATCCAAAGGGTTTAAAAGAAATGAAGGTTTTGAGCAGTCATGTACCCCTCCAAATCCCTTCCTTTCCTTTGGAATTTGTTCCAAACATAGGAGAGGGTGCAGCCACCCCTCTCTTCCTTTGGCTTTCCCTTCCTTCCATTCTAACCAAACAAGAGGTCAAGTAATCTTCTTTGTTTCAAAGCAATTCCTGCCAAGCCTTTTAGTTTGAATTTGAAATTGAATTTGAGAATATATATAAGCTTCAAGTCTTGCCTCTCTTCATAGTTATTGCTTAAGGCTACTGATTTCTTTATTCCTCAGTTTAAGAATTTTTTTATTTGTTTGGGTTTGATCTATACTTGCATGGGATTTGAATGGTTTTAAAAAGGTGCCTATTTAAACACAGAAGGTGGTTGATAAAGTTTATAAGTACTCATGACTTTCTTTTCCCTTGCAAGCAGATTGTAATTTTCAGATTTAGTCATGCACTTTTTGGAGAATGTCATGGTAACTACTGACTGATGCATGAATATGCTAAAATTGCCACTGGCTTATGGACTCTGTGAACATGTCAATTAATGTTTTCTTTCTTTTTCTTTTATTTTCCAAAATATCATTTATATGTTTGTGGTCAAAGTCAGAAAGCACAGACCACAAAAATATCGATCAGATTCCTGATGTGATGAAAGAGAACACTTAAAGGATGCACACAACCTGTGACAATCAACGTGAAATCTTACATCTAGTATAAGATTATGTCTAGTCACACCCACTTACTCAGACACACAACTCAACCTGTAACTGCATTAGTGAGAAGGAAATCATAAATGTATGATAAGAATGTGTCTAATCAGGTATTTTGTGGAGGTTTCTTAATCTTTTATCTTAGTTGGTTTAGGAACTGAAGTTCTGAACATAATATCTGTCTAATGCACTGCTTTTTAACTTGCCTAAAGTGTGCATATTTGTGATTAATTTGTCTTAAACCACATGAAATGTCATTGGTAATTATCTTGTCATGTTGGTAAATGACTTCTGCTTCATTTGTTGTGCATGTTTAAGACTAAATTCTGATCTTGTTTAGCTTTGTTTGATGTACAGGCGGCCATTGTGAATTCTCAGACTTTGGAAGAGGTTGCAAGACTTGAGAAGGTGCTTGCTTGATTGTATGTGTGATTTTAAAAGAGATTATCTTGTAGATTTCTTTCTTAATTTGAAAATTACATCTGGATGGTTCTCTGCCTGAGCAGGCATTAAAGACAGGTCAGCTTCCTGCCGATTTGAAAATTCCAGGTGATGATATTGGGGCCAATGTTACAGGGAAAGATGAAAAAAAGGTTTCTGATAGTCAAAACAAGTCCAATGTTGAACTAAATAATGTGGAAGAACAAAACAATGAGGAACCTGCACCAATGGAACAGGTATGCAGATATGAGTTATGTGGATCCTGAATTTAGTCTTTGTGCTCTTATTATCTTTTTCTTCCCTTGTTAATGCTACTCTTCCCATAGACTGAAGGTTCCTTCCTTTGTCCTTTGGCCCTTAGCTAAGATAGGTATGAATGGCAAGTACTAGCTTCACTTGGTAATGTAGTGTTATGTCTTGCACTTTAAAATGGGCATAAGAAGGAAAAAATTGTCTGCTACACAAAAATAGACCTTATTATTATATATACTTACATCAATAAAGGAGCAAAGTATACAATTTGTTGCAGACGTGAATTTCCAAAAGGTAATCAAAAGTGAATGCAACATGGAGGCACCCTAGTTACTGAAGTTATTTGTTTTTTTGAAAATATTTTAGAAATGAAATGTTCATTTCTGTACTTAGCTCAGATGAAGCATTAATCCCAGACTAGCTGGAAATGTACGTTTCTTGATGATAAGATCATAATATAAGCATATTTAATGTTATCGATATTAAAGGGGATTATACTAGGTAGTTTGCCTATTATCATAAGCAACAATATCATGTTTTGGGAACAAACAAACATTCTTGTATCTTGTCCAAGTAGTGGTAAACAGTTGGGCAAAGGCATCACATAGATACCTTGTGACAGAATTCATCCAACCAAAATGCCTTTGCATATGAATCAAAGGATGCCTTTTTGGGGATGATATTTGTGAATTTCACATAAAATAATTGTTGGTTTAATAAGATGTTTGCCTCGGGTAGTGTTTTCCTTGAGGTGAAGCTCTTGCCTAGGCATCAAAGGCATGTACGTTGCTAAAGTCACCTTGCCTTAAGGGGTTGTAGTGCCTGCCTAAGCATGTATGCAAGTACCTAGTTCTTTTTTGACTAATGAATTTGGTCAGTAAGTGGTTGCTACTTTTGAGAGCAGTTGCTCTGCTCCAAGAGATAGATTGGTTGACACCTATATTGAAAGGAGTATATAGGTTTGCTTTGTCAATATAAGTTTTTGGCAAAGGTGAGCTTGTTTATGAAATGAATTCTCAAGCTCAAGTTCAACCGGTTTAGATGTTAAAAAAGTGTACTTGTGTGTATAACCCATTAATATCTGTTTTGGACCATTTTTTAGTTATAAAATTTAAATTTCAAATATAAAAGATCTAAAATACGAAGCTTGGTGCATAAATATGTGAATTTGTAATTTTTAAATTTTAATTCATCCAATAATATCTTTATCAGCGAAATGCACTTATAGTGGGATTAAAAACCTCATAATCAATTAAAAACTAATTTGGGTAGGATTTATCTCAAACTAAGTAACAAGTTAGCTGATTTTTAAAAACAAACAATTTGGAATATGAAAGCATTCAAGGTGCTTTTATATCCAAATACTGTTTAACCAATATTTGTAGTTTGATAGATACTAAAATCCATGTTCCCACATGAGTGTTTGTCATTTTTTAATTATAAATTTAAATGAAAAATATTTTTCTAAAAAAATGAAGTTTGATGTATAAATAAGAGTATTTTAAAGATATTTTTAGTAAATTTTTATGCTATATTTCAAATAATTTTTAATATTTTTCTCAACCAAACCAAGATGCTGAATGGAATTGGAAGTCCCTAACCAATTAAAATGTAATTTTGATAAGAATGTTTATTTTAAGAACAATAAGATTTATATTTAATTTAAAAACTTTTGAAAAATCTAGGAGGACAATCTGGGTATACAACAAAACCTGATACAGTTTTTTGTTCACAAATGTTATACTCAACATTGGTACTTCTTATGTGCTAGTTTTTATTTAATGTGTTATTGCATGTGAAATACGCTAATGCATGTCGAGTAGTATGAGCTAAAAACTGAATAGAACATCTAGGTCTTGATTAAAGCTAACAAATTTTCTAGTTATTATAAATCTATCATATTGTAATTTGGTCCGAGCAAAGTTTACATTAAAGTAATTCATATAAAATTTAACTGTACTGTAAAATCATTATATTACCATAAAATAAGAAAAGTTATGAAGGTATTCTAACCTTCAGACCAGCTTCACGCCTATTAATTTTAGTTTATTAAATTATAATAGTGATAAACCAAAAACGATAACTACTCTACTGAAAGTAATTTAAGTAAATCTTCCCTCAAACATAAATTGAATGTCAGACTTTTTAGTATATAACTGAAAAGAGGTCTTGAGTCACGTGGTTCTCCCTCTCAGTGGATACTATTGAAACAATGCCCTTTTCATTTTTATCCTTTGTGTTGTACCTTCTATTTCTTTTTTTTATATGTTAATTTGTCTATTCCTTTTCTTTTCTACATTATTTATACACATAACTTTTGGGACATTATCTGCCACTTTATTGATGTATTTTTTTTCACAAATTAAATTATTAAGTGAAAATAATCGATTGTAATGATATATTTATAAATTCAAATGAACTAATAAGTGCTTAAATAAACAAACTGTTAAGTATATAAGTATTAGTTTAATTGTTGATTTATGCAGATAAGTACTCAATTATGATTGTTTATGTGAATATAACTATTAAAATTACTTTTTACAAAAATTGATTCATAAGTTATTTACGTGATTGAGCTGATATTGAAATAAATAAGTTTATTATTTAAATTTATATATTTAACTCATGTAAAGATTAAAATTTATTTTATGTAGTAATTTCAATTTCAATGTCAACAAAATATTTATATATACAATTCCATTAATATGTTCAATATTCAATAGAAAGTAGTTTTTCTCCTATAGCACAATGTCACATGGGTTAGGTAATGGATATTAAAGCCAGTTTCTTGATGCACTATGGTGGTAACAGCTCTATCCTCTCACATAGCACTCTTTCGACAACAATGCACAATGCACCAAACTTCTGACTCTGTCTTTTTGTGTTTTAAAATTTTTTGGGCTAATTGGCCCTTGCTTCCAATATGCCTTTATTAGTTTATGTTCCAACCTTTGGCTTCTTATATTTGTTCAGAACAACTTTGTTGCTTTTAGTGCATCTTGATGGCCGCAATAATCATTGTTAGTACCTTTTCATCAGCCCAACATGTATTTCTCATTATACTTACTGTTTTTGATGTTTTATTTTTTTCTACTTTTTTGTAGGTAAATTTTAGCTAGATCCTTTATGGTTTTAACTTTTTTCAAATGACACCTTATGGTTTTAACTTATAAATGATCTTATTAACTGCCTTAAATGATCTAAAACACTGTTGAGCTCAAGTTTGACTTATTTATTAAACTAGCTTGAAAATAAAGGGCAAGTTTGTTTATTAAGCTTAATGATTGAGCCCAAATACAGTTGGGTTTTGAGCAACTGTATTGATTTTTTTTTTTTTTTTTGGCTTCTGATAGCCATCATGCTGGGAGAGAGGTGTTAATGCAAATACTTTCGTTACTGTTTAAAATATGTTTTTCAGTTATATATTTCTTCATTACTGTATCTGCTCGTTGGTTTTTTATTTTGGACTAATGGGGTAAGCTCGTTTTCTTTTACCAGGAATAGCATGCATAGTTTCTATACCAGCCTACATCACTTGCTGCATTCATTCACCAATGGTTGGCTTTGCAACGAAGGATTTTTCGAATGGTTGGCTGTGCGACAAAAGGATTTCAGTTATACTGAGAGTTAACGATTATTATTAGGAATTCTGAACGTGTACAACCATGAATTTCTCTTTGGCCTCCATGTGTAATCTTGAACATGTACAACAATATTAACTTTTCCTTTTGCCCCTATTGCTGG